AGGAAGCATGTATGTTCATAGCACAGAAAGTCAAGCTATTGGAGAAACTGGACGGCAGTGAAAGTGTAAAACATCTTACAGAAGATGATGGTGTTGGAATGACCACCACGAAACAGAAGGATAAACGAAGTTCGATGTCGAAAGTCATGAATACATGTTAATTTAAACCAGAAAAATAATACATAAAGCTGAAAATGAAGATCTGGATCCCGTGTTAAAGGAACGCATTCACCCGTGTTGAAGTGATCACGTGTAACGTGATGGTACGCTGATCGCGAAACAAGAAAAGATCTGTCACATTAAACTAGAAGCTGAAGGGAACTGTGAGTGTTTAACAGGCTGGTTGCAGAAATTTGAGAAAAGATACAGCATTGAGTTTTTAAGGATTTGTGGTGCTAACGCCTCTACTCATCACAAAGCAGTGGAGAAATTCATTGACAAGGTTGCAAAGGTCATCGCTGACGAAACCTCTACAATGCTGATGAAGTATCACTGTTTGGGCATTACGGCCCCAGAAAGACACTGACCACAGCTGATGAGACAGTCCCTGTAGGAATTCAGATGCGAAGGACGCTGTCACTGAGTCGGGTGTGCTAATGCAGGAGGCATACAGAAGTGTCACCTTGCTGTGGTAGGCAAGCTTGCATCCTCACTCGGGCTGAACGTCTTGCCAGTCCAATATGATGCTAATAAAAAACACCTGCATCACCAGAGACGTCTTTTCTGGTTAATTTCACAGGCATTTCGTACTAGTGTCTCATGCTCAACTACAGGAAAGCTAGATTAGATGACAGTAGCAAGATGTTGTTAATCCTCGACGACTGTTCTGCTTATCTTCCAGCTGAAAATTCTCATAAAAAGTAACATCGATGCCATGTACTTTCCAGTAAATGTGACTTCATTGATTTAGCCATGTGACCAGGATGACTTTAGATCTATGAAGAGTAAATGTAAGAACCCTATCTTGAATAGCACGCTAGCAGCAGTGAACAGAGGTATGGGTGTGGGAGGATTTTCGAAAGGAGTTTAGCATGAAAGATACCTAGATGCTGTTTCCAGTGCTTGGAACACAGTGACTAAAGACACAGGATGCATACCTGGTACAGTCTCAGACCTGTGACTGTGTTCAGTGATGCTGATAAAATGGCATATGTCATGTGAGAAAAAAACGACGTCTGACTTCCTTATATATGTGAAAAAGACTCCTTCGGAATCTGTCCGTAAGCTGGAGGAAGTGGATATTGAAGAAGTTTTTAACCTCGATCATCGGGGTCCAGTTGTTCATTCATTCGCTGATGGTGAAATAGCCTAAGTGGTTCTGAATCGAGGTGATCGTGACAATCTGATGACGCAGAAGAAGTCGTTAATAAGCAGAAAAAGTGCCGACAGACCACAGGGTGACAGCGTGCGATGGGCTTATCGCAGGACTAGAGCTGTGTGCACTTAGAGCAGAAAATCATGTCAGTTTATAAAATCAAAGACTTTTACGACAGAAATCACTGTGAATGAGGCTGACGACTCTGTAGGCAACATTTAAATAAGCCATGGAACAGAGTGCCTCATCATCCCTAGAGGACCCACTTCCTGTCCCTCAGCTGCTTCTGATGTTTCTTCTCACCTGGAAAAAACACTGTGCGGTTGCCTTTTAATCTAATACGGCGTGGGAGGTGGAGACCGCAAGCCTGCTGCTGCTGTTGCTGTCCTCTACCAGTTGATGCAGGTGTTCTCGTAATGCTGCTGTGACGCCAAGTTACTCCCAACATGTTACGTGTTCACTGTGTCAGTGGGTGTCATTCTTTTCCCTGTTAAGTACCTGCGTGTAAGTGTAAGAAAATGGTCGCTTACTGGAAACAAGTTCACGGTCGAGAATGACGGTCATCCCAAACAACCAGACTGTCCACACGAGTGACTGAGATCATATACCTTTGCTTTCTGATGACTCAATGTATGCAAACTGTTTCAAGCACAAAATCATTGTAAATATTGTGTAAAATTGCCTCTAGGCCAGGTATATGAGGTACATATGAAGTATAAATGAATTTCACATTTATTGATTTCTTTTTTTAGACAAAGTTTCACTCTGTTCGCCCAGACTGGAGAGCGCAGTGGCGTGATCTCAGCTCACTGTAACCTCTGCCTCCCAGGTTCAAGAGATTCTTCTGCCTCAGCCTCCTGAGTAGCTGAAATTTTTGTATTTTTTGGTAGAGAAGGGATTTCACCATGTTGGCCAAGCTGGTCCCAAACTCCTGACCTCAAGCGATCCACCCACCTTGTCCGCCCAAAGCGCTGGGATTACAGGTGTGAGCTACAGTGGCTGGCCGAATTTTATGTTTAAACTTGGGTCCCATCCCCAAGATATTGTATATATGTAAATATTTCAAAATCTTAAAAAGTCTTAAATCCAAAACACTTCTGGTTCCAAGCTTTTCAGATAAGAGATACTCAATTTGTATATAATTTATTAAAGCACATACTAGGCTTAGCACTACACGTGTTATCTTACTTAATCCACGTAACTACTTTTTATGTTCAATTCTATTATTGCCCCGTTTCACAGATGGTGAAGCTGAGGCTTACAGTGGTTGGTTAACTTGCCAAGGTTACCCATATAATAAAAAGCAAAATCAGGCTTCTAGCTCAGTTAGCCTTATACCAGAATCCACACATTTAACCACGATGTCATTGGTTAACAAACTTGAGTGATATCAAAACCACCTGGAGGGCTTGTGAAACTCAGATTTCTAGGCCCCGTCTTAGATATTTTTGTAAAATTAAAAATATAGGCAGAGCCCGATAACTCAGTGCTTTGGGAGGCTGAGCAGAGTGGATCGTTTGAGGCCAAGAGTTTAAGACCAGCCTGGGCAACATAGCAAGCCCCTGTCTCTACAAAAACAAAAAATTAGCTAGGCGTGTGGTGGGAATCTCTAGTCCTAGCTACTGGGGAAGCTGAGGCAGGAGGATCACTTGTGCCCAGGAGTTTAAGGTCATGGGGAGCTATGACCTTAAACTCCTGGGTGCCACTGCACTGCAGCCTGGGCTACAGAGCAAGACAATCTCTAAAAAAAAAAAAATTATAAATAAAAATATAAGATACTTGTGTATTATTTTCTTAAAGCAGAGCCTTAAAACTGTAGAAGCTTTGAGGACCACGAGCCTGATCTGCCCAGAATCCGATGTCTTCTTTCAGTCACAGTTATTCTGTGTTTATCTCAAAGCCAGCTCACATTACAAAATCCAGACCCACAAGCCATAGCTACCGCCCAGCAGGCTAGGATTTCATGAGGTTCTTAAGTCTGTGTTTATCTCCTGACACAATCTGTCTGCAGGTTTCAGATAAAGATGGCACTAACGTAGCTTAAGATATTAAAGGGATCGCCTCAGCCGTCAGGATATCCTAGCCAGAATCTGATCTGGGATCTCAGGTGGTGTCGCCAGTGCCCTTTGTAGGAAGGGTAGGGAGATGGGAGAGGCTCCTTCGTATGCCTGGACCTGGGAGGCCAGCCTCGGGCCAGTCTTGGTGGCAACAAAGAAACCCCTTTCTTTATTATAAGGAGAGAACTTGCAGCCAGACGGTGATGAAGGGAGCGGGTGCTCTTTACGATGGGTTGTTTCAAATCTTCTACCTGGCAAGAGTCCAACACCATCACAAAGGACTGTGAGCATGGTGTCTGGGGAACAGGAAGCAGAGGAAGGGGAGAAATAAACACCTGACCTTTCTACAGTGACTTGGAGGCTGAGGATTCCCTACCCCATTCCCACCACACTGCAAGCACGAAATCACAGTACCCTGACGTCAAAGGTTGTTGAAGAGATTTTATCTCCTGTCCAACATATGATTAAAACACCACTGGGGCCATAAATGGAACTAAGAAAGGCAGAAACAAATTAATTTAAAAAATAGATGTAATCCCACATATTAAAAATATGATCACATCAGCATATAATCAATATAAAAATGATTAGTAAGCTATTGTACAGTTTTTCGTGTTGTCTTTGAAATCCAGTGTGCCTTTACACTGAAGCATATCTTAGTCTGCACACCAAACCTTCTTTCCTGTCTATGTCATAAGCTAGACTTTATCCAAATTCGAATTCTCTGTTCTGTTAAATACAATGTTAAAATAATGAAAAGACACCAGATGCAGTGGCTCATGCCTGTAATCCCAGCACTTTGGGAGGTGGGAGGATCACCTGGAGGGCTGGGTGTTTGAGAGGAGCCGGGGCAACATGGCAAAACCCTGTCTCTATTAAAAATTCAAAAAATAACTTTGGGAGGCTGAGACGGGTGGATCACGAGGTCAAGAGATCGAGACCATCCTGGTCAACATGGTGAAACCCCGTCTCTACTAAAAATACAAAAAAAAAATTAGCTGGGCACGGTGGCACGTGCCTGTAATCCCAGCTACTCGGGAGGCTGAGGCAGGAGAATTGCCTGAACCCAGGAGGCGGAGGTTGCGGTGAGCCGAGATCGTGCCATTGCACTCCAGCCTGGGTAACAAGAGCGAAACTCCGTCTCAAACAAAACAAAACAAAACAAAAATTCAAAAAATAGCCAGGCATGGTGGTGGGCACCTGTAATCCCAGCCATTCAGGAGGCTGAGGCATGAGAATCGCTTGTACCCACAAGGCGGAGGTTGCAGTGAACTGAAATCGCGCCACTGCACTCCAGCTTGGGAGACAGAGCAGACCCTGTCTCAAAAGTAAGATAAAATAATGAAAAGATAAACTGCAGACTGCAAGAAAATATTTTCAAAACACCCAGTTGATAAACCACTCGTGACCAAATATGCAAAGAACGATTACAATCAATAATAAGAAACTAAACAACCCAATTAAGGAATGAACAAAATATTTTAATAAACATCAAAGAAGATATATGGATGGCACATAAATACATTAGAGATGCTTATTGTCATTTTTCTTGTTTTATTTATTAGAATTGGTAGTATTTTAAATTTAGATGTTTAATTATAGTATTTTTTTTCTTTTTCTTAATTCAGTCTCGTAGAGACTCAAACATTGCTGATGCCGTCTATATTTCAAGTCGTCATGGTGGGGTACTGGGAAAAATTTTCAATTAGCAATAATTGCACCTTTGATAAACCTCATTGGCTGCAATACTGCCACTGCGCAAAGCGTAATTTTAGTTTTTTTGTTTTTTTTTTTTTGAGACGGAGTTTCGCTGTTGTTACCCAGGCTGGAGTGCAATGGCGCCATCTCAGCTCACCGCAACCTCCACCTCCTGGGTTCAGGCAATTCTCCTGCCCCAGCCTCCTGAGTAGCTGGGATTACAGGCACGCACCACCACGCCCAGCTAATTTTTGTATTTTTAGTAGAGTCGGGGTTTCACCATGTTGACCAGGATGGTCTCGATCTCTTGACCTTGTGATCCACCCGCCTCGGCCTCCCAAAGTGCTGGGATTTCAGGCTTGAGCCACCGCGCCCGGCCAATTTTAGTATTTTTAATACATCCATGTGTGGGTTTGTCACATGGGTATACTGCGTGATGCTGAGGTTTGGGCTTCTAATGGTTCCATAGCCCAGGTAGTGAACACAGTGCCCCATAGGTAGGTAGCTTTTCAATCCTTCCGCTCCTCTGCTCCCACCTCTTGGAATCCCAAGTGTTTATTGTTCCCATCTTTGTGTACCCAATGTTTAAGCTCCAAGTTGTAAGTGGTATCCGGTTTTCTGTTCCTTAGTTTGCCTAGGATAATGGCCTCCAGCTGCATCCACGTTGGCACATAGGTCAGAGTTTTGTTCGTTTTGCAATTTCTCCATGCAGTCCTGTGTTGTTGGCTATCTGGGTTGATTCCATGTCTTTGCTACTATTACAACCATAAATGTCCTAGTGCAGGTGGACACTATATTTTCTACAAAGTGAAATGTGGCCCTAAGAAAATATGTTTAATGGAAAAATATGTTCTACTGCTTCAGTTTTTACATTTATGTTAAACTGTATTAAAATTTAAGATCCTCAGTTGAACGAGCTATATTTCACATGATGTATACACGTGACTAGTATTGGAAGTACAGCTTGAAGTCCGTGCACTGCTTCCTGGGCCTCTGGGGATAGCAGTTGACAGAATGGATGAAAATGTCTTTGTTTCTGGAATAATGGTAATAATAGCAGTGGTAACTGTCTGGAGACCTCACAGAAAAGATGGAAGGCTTTGGAATTTGGAGAAAAGCGAAAAAGGAAAATGCAGGTGGTCAGGCTTCCTGTTACAGAATGTCCTATCCCTGGAACAATAATGAGCAGCAGTGATTAGCATGCTCATTAATACACTGCTTGTGTGATGACTTGCCTAGAGTCGGCCTGGCCTTCCAAGGTCTCTCTTATTCACCGTAAGTATCTACGGAGCCCAGCACCGTGCCTGCTATCAGAGCTCTGGGTACTGCTGAAACAATAAATTCAAAGGCTGGACTCGATCCTGTGAAGACAAGGTGAGGCAGGGTTCATGTGATTCCGCCCAGCATAAGCAAATCAGCCCACAGAGGGTTGCCATATGAGAGACTGGCAAAGGCGGACTACGGTTTAGCTCAAAACACAGCAGCACCAAACCGGGTAGAGCGTCTCCGATTTACAGCTGAAATCATTTGCGGGGAGTGTCTCCACTGACAGGTGAAATCGTGGGCGGGTGGCGTCTCCACCTTTCAAGTGAAATCGTGCGCGGGCGGCGTCTCCACCGACAGGTGAAATCGTGCGCAGGTGGGCGGCGTCTCCACCGTTCAGGTGAAATCGTGCGTGGGCGGTGTCTCCACCGTTCAGGTGAAATAGTGCGAGGGCAGGTGAAATCGTGCGTGGGCGGGCGGCGTCTCCACCGTTCAGGTGAAATCGTGCATGGGCGGCGTCTCCACCGTTCAGGTGAAATCCTGCGAGGGCGGCATCTCCACCGATAGGTGAAATCGTGCGAGGGCGGCGTCTCCACCGTTCAGGTGAAATCGTGCATGGGCGGCGTCTCCACCGTTCAGGTGAAATCGTGCGAGGGCGGGCGGTGTCTCCACCGTCAGGTGAAATCGCGTGCGGGCGGCGTCTCCACCTTTCAGGTGAAATCACCTGCGGTATCAGTACGCGATGGTAACTTCCTACGTCCTGAAGCCCTACAGAAGCTACAGGGTTTCCGGCACGCCTAACCCTCAGGCCACTCTCCTTCCCACACAGGCCCTGATTTCTTCCGGGTTCCTCTTCCTTTATTTCCTCCAGTTACAAGGACATCCGGTCTAAGCAGGTTAGACGCTCAGTGAGCGAGGGGAAGCACCACTCGTCAGTGGGGAGGAGCGTTGTCTGGACTCTTCAGGGAAAATGGCAGAAACGCAACTTCCGGAAGCTTCAAGGGGAACGCACAGGAACGTACTCAGACTACGGGTCCCTGGACGGGACATACCTAGTTCCGCTCAGCCGGAAGCAGGTCGCCAGCTGCCGTGTCCCTCCTTCTCGCCCCACCCCTCTTCCTGTCTCTGTCCGGAAGCAGGTCGCCAGCTGCCGTGTCCCTCCTTCTCGCCCCACCCCTCTTCCTGTCTCTGTCTCTCCCCTTCTCTCCCTGTCTCCGTCTCTCCCTCTCTCTGTCTGTCTCTCTTTTTTTCTGCACAATGGCGTCCTTCGACTTCAGCCACACATGGATCAAAACCAGCCACCAGCGACCACGTGGGAGAGCCCCAGTGTCAGCCACAGACGGAGGAAGACAGTTCTCTTGGGTTCAGATTTCTGAATCCCACCGAGGGGCCCCTTTGACCACCCTGTCCAGCCGCCGGCTCTGGATGAATTGATCGCGGCTGGGCCTGGGAAGTTCCAGCACCCTGACGCCAAGGACATTGAGGAGACTTTTCTCGTTGCCCGAGATTAGTGAGTGCAGCTCCAGTATGAGGTGTTAGTCCAGCCACATTATGAACGCAGCCGCCTCGAGGGTGCACCCAAGACACTGCTCGGTTGTCCCCTCAGCCCCCAGGCACCATGCCCGGTGGGAACCTCGGCCCATTCGAGGAGATGACTGGAGCGAGGGGAGGGACGGTTCCTGGGTGGTAGCTCCTGTGGAGTGAGACAAGACAAGGGTGGGAAAGGGGGCTTTCCTTCCGGAGAAGGGACGCCCCAGGACAACCCTCTGGCGTGGTGGGCTGGAGCGGAGGGGGCCTGTATTCAGGGCCAGCTTCGCAGGCATGTGAGCCGTGCACTCGCGCAGAATGGCCCCTCAGTTGGTTTAATGCTCTGCTCTCGCCAGCTTGGCGTTCTTAGTACGTGTTAAACAGTTCTGGGCCTGGGCCTGCAAACGGAGTGGCCAGTCCTGTGGCAGTCCTTCTCTCTTCAGATGCTGCTCAGACAGCGGGCATCCTATCCTGTGCCCACGTCAACAGGAGAAAGATGTCAGGGCAAAGTGAGGGTGGCACTGGGGCACCCAGTCCTCCCACTCCACTTGAGGTGGCAAGGCCATGTGGGTTTCCACTGGTCCAGAAAACCCCATGAAGGAGAACGGGCAGTAAATTATCTTGTCCCTACCTTGACCCGAAACACCTGTCCTTATGCCAAGGGACCCTGGCAGCAAGAGACTTGGGGCCTGTTCTGACGGTGGAGGCTGAAGCAGAATGGGGCACCGTGTCGGGCTTAGCAGGCTCTTCCACACCCGGGAACTGAGCCATACAGAGGCTCTGCAGGGCTCTTCAAGGACTCAAAGTCTCTGATGCTTCTTGAAGGCAGCCATGGGAGCTGACACATGAAGGATATTCGAGGAAGGAGGCCTGATGAGCAGCGAACTGCAGCTGAGTCCCGGCAGAGAGGAGCCTGGCCCCACCTCTCCACTCCTCCCTCACTTCCTCCAGCTCCCAAGGAAAGAGATGGAGGAGGCATCCTCAGCCAGGTCCTGCTGCCATTCCCGTGGTGAGTCCTGGCACTTTGGGGGAAGGGCAAGATGAACTATGAAATGTCCCTGGGATGGGAAGCTTCAAACTGGGAAGGAATGAGCTTGAAAAATCTGAAAGTCACCTGAAAGTCATGGGACCTGACCTAGATGTTGTGAAGGGACGCTTTATGCAGCAGGGGTACCAAGTGCATTCCCAGAGCCTGGCCGGGGGCAGTGAGCTGAGGAAAACACTGGCTTGATGTATCAGATGGCGCCACAACACTCATGAGGAAGGGGCCCTGGCAGACCATGTGGAATGTGCCCACCCCAGAGGATCCGCCTCCAGGAGGGGTGGGGCCCCATGCCCTAGACTTGAGTGAGCTCACAGCCACGCGGGGGCCCAGCTGCCCAGAGTCCTAGAACCACATGAGAATGCATGCTCCCTGAGATGGCTGCATTGTGTCTCCCTGCTGCAGACAGGCTGGGGCTCTGCATTCAGAACAAGCCCACTGAACACATTGGCAGATGCCCTGAGGAGTGCCCTGGTTCAGAGCTGTGTTTCACCAATGTTATGCCAACACCAGAATCCTCTGCTGGAAAACTTGCTAAAACACACATTGTTTTGGCTTCTGGCCTGGGGTTTGGATCAGAGGTCTGGGCTGGGGTGGGGGTGAGGGCTGAGAATGGGCATTTCTAACACATTCCCAGACCACACAGGAGAGCTGGCAATCTGCACATCTGCCTCACCTGGGAGCTTCTGAAGGTAGGGATTCTGCCACCCTCACCATACTTTCTAGGCTCAGTGGCCTGGCTGACTTCTCCCTGAGAGCCACACCAGCCCCCAGAAGTGACAGCAGGGACAAGTGGTTCTTTTCCCAACCTGTGTGGCTGGTACGCTGGAGCAGCAGGGACTTGGCATGGGTTTTATCCCTCCCAGCCCTGCCCAAGTTAGAGGTTCCAGCCCTTTGCTCCTCTGACAGTGTCTGCTAGGTCTGCCCTGGAGGTGACAGCCAGGCAGGCTTGTGGAATTAGAGGGCTGGCAGGGGCCTCAGAAACCTGGGGTGGTCCTTGGTCTCTGCACACCACCCAGTCTATTTTAACATATAACATCTTAGTTAACATCTGAGAGTGAACTTGTCACTCTTCTGCTTGATCTGTCCTCCACTGCCTTTTTTTCCCCAATGATAAAATACGTATAACACAAAACGCATTTCACCCATTCCAATTATTATTTTTTTAGACGGAGTCTCACTCTGTTGCCAGGCTGGGGTGTAATGGCGCGATCTTGGCTCACTGTAACCGCTGCCTCCCGGGTTCAAGCAATTCCCCTGGCTCAACCTCCTGAGTAGCTAGGACTACAGGTGCGGACCATCAGCAGCAAAGATGGGGTTTTACCATGTTGGTTAGGATGTTCCCAATCTTCTGACCTCGTGATCCACCCTGCTTGGCCTCCCAAAGTGCTGTGATTACAGGCGTGAGCCACTGCGCCCGGCCTCCAGTGATTTTTGAAATGCACAACTGAGTGGTAATAAGCACATCCACGCTGCTGTGCAGCCATCACCACCAGCCATATCCAAAACTTTTCTATGCCCCAAATAGAAACTCAGTATCCATTAAACAGTAACGCTCCAGTCTCCCACCCCTCGGCCCCTAGTAACCTCTGTTGTAGGTTCCTTGTATAAATGGAAGCATAAAATACCCTTTTGTGTCAGACTTAATTTGACCTAGCACATCTTCCAGGTCCCTGGATATTGTAGCACGTGTCACAGTTTCGTTCCTTTTTAAGGGTGATGAATATGCCACTGTAGACAGGCACACCACATTTCGTTCACAGGCTTACCAGCCGGTGGGCACCTCAGTTTCCACCTGTACCGTTGTGGCAAATGCTGATGTGAACATGGAGGTGCAAAGCGTAGCCCCCCGCTTTCAGTTCTCTTGGGCATATACCCAGAAGTGGAGTTGCTGAAGCATAGGACGATTCTCTGGCTAATTTTTTCTTTTTGAGGCATTTTCCTACAGACATTGAATCTGACCACTCAGCTAGGCATTGTTCACCAGAAGCCAGGATCTGCTGAAAACCTCGCCAGTATCTTCCAAAAGGGACTTGAGGCAGGCCTTGGCCAAGGGACTTACAGCTCAAAGTCAACGTGGGAAGAGGCTTAACTGACCTCTTCACCCCTGTAGGTGGAGACTTAGCACTGCAGGAGCCCCTCCGAGAACCTGGCACCCAATGCCCTCACTTTGCAGAATGAGGAGATGGCAGCTCAGAGGGGCGAAGATGCCACACCACTCTGGCTGGCTTCTTTTTGCCCAGGTCTCAGTCCAAACGCCACCTCCTCAGGGACCCTGGCTCCCCCATCTAAGATAGTCCTCCCACCCTCAATCACTCACTGGCCTGTTTGTGTTTTCTGTGTGTTATAGTCTAAAATAATCTCACTCATGTATCTCTGCTTTTTTCTCTGTCTCCTCACATAGATGTAAGTTGGGGAAACGGGGGCCTTATCTGCCTTCCTCAGGTTCCACCCCAGCATCTGGAACTCCGCCTAGCAGACGGTAAGCACTCGAGTATTTTTACATAAATGAATGGAATATACATGCCTCACTAAAATGTGTACACAGCTCTAATGTTTGCAAGAGAGATACACTGAGACCTTCACGATTCTCCCAAGCATAAAATATTCCCCACAGAAATGAACAGCCAGTTTTTAAAACACAAAGCCACACAGACATGCTCGCTAAGTGACTGATGTGGAGTCTAGAGCTCCATGTTACCTCCACAAATACCGGATCTCTGCTGTCTCTGCAGGGTGGGCTGGGTACAGAAGGGTTAACGTTCCCCCAGGGAGCTGAGGTCTTTGATTATGATCACACCAATAATTTTCTTTCCATTAAGACGTTGAAGACTTTTGGCCGTTCTAAGGATGACAGGAATGGTTTTCTAAGTAATGGTCTCTTCTGGTGTAAAAATGCTGTAGGTAATGGGAAGGAGAGGGACGTGGCCTCTCACCCCATCTCTATATTCAATCGATGGTGCTGTTTCGTTCCTGATGTTTTAATAGGACTCATCATGGATTGTGGCAGGATTGCCAGGAATGGCAGATGTGGTTTTACTATTTTTATCCTGATTGAACACTGAGCAGAGCAGGGTGAGACTTTGTCCTGAGCCTGAACTAGGGCTAACTGGGGGATGGGGAGGTGAAGCCACCTCGAGCCACACAACCTGCCCAGGGTCTGGGGATTTCTGCTTGCGGCTTGGTGCTCCCCTCTGCTTCCCCTTGCCCACAGGCCTCTGTCCTGGCCTCTCTCTTAGTTTTTGTGGCTCTGCCGAGACCAAGCCGCTTGTCCTTGGCCGGGCTAAGCTGTCCACGTTCCCTGCAGTGGCGGTGGGATCAGGAGGGACAAAGCAGAGCAAGGGACGCAGCCCAGAGGGGGTCAGACAGGCTGTGGCCTCTCAGTGGTCCTGCCAAGGTAACTGCTGGGACGGGGCAACCTTGGGGCACCAGGGAGGAACGTCACATCTCTTTTCTCAGTCTGCTGTGTCTCTTCCCTCCTCTTCCTCTTCACCAAGCCGTACTCCTCCCTCCACATGGCCAGTTCCTTTGAATGACTCTCTCCACCTGACTTAGGTCGCTGTACCCCTGTGGCTCTGCTGACCTCATGTGTATTTATGATGGGCCTGTCCTCTCTGAGGGCAGCATCTGCTTCTTCATGGGTGTTCATGTATTTAGTGCAAAAAAAGGGGTGGGTGGCGGCTGGGGGTACCCATGAGGAGCTGTAGCCTAGGAGGCGAGGGCAGAGAGAAGCAACCAGAGAGGTTGTGGGGGTTGCAGAGCAGTGGAGAGTCGTGAGTGCCGAGGGAGGCGAGGCCATCAGGGAAAGATCAGGACATCTGCGGAGCCCTGCAGAGCCAGAGCCAGAGAGGTCGAGAGAGGGAGAAGGCACCAAAAGAAGTCTTGGGAGCAAGAATCAGAAAATCGCCAGAGAACCTGGAAAGGTAGCAATTTTGTCACCGTCACAAAGGGAAAAGCTAGATGGAAGAGTTAACAAGTGAATGACGGGTAGTCACCTGTGCTAGTTAAGATGTCCCTTCCAACAGCTCACAGAGCAAACATTGATGTGCCCATGTACTGAGACCTTCAAAAATACTCATGTCCACAGCTGAACATGGTGGTTCTTGTCTGTAGTCCCAGCACTGTGGGACACCAAGTCCAGGACTTTGAGACCAGCCTGGGCAACATAGTGAGACCTTGTCTGTACAAAATTAAAAAAAAAGTCCGGTGTGGTGGCTCATGCCTGTAATCCCAGCAATTTGGGAGGCCAAGGTGGGTGAGGCCTGAGGTTGGAAGTTCGGGACCAGCCTAACATGGAGAAATACCGTCTCTACTAAAAATACAAAGTTAGCTGGGCATGGTGGCGCGTGCCTGTAATCCCAGCTGCTCGGGAGGCTGAGGCAGGAGGATCGCCTGAACCCAGGAGGCGGAGGTTGCGGTGAGTCGAGATCCTGATTGCACCATTGCACTCCAGCCTGGGTAACAAGAGCGAAACTCTGTCTCAAAAAAAAGAAAAAGAACAAAATTAGCCAGGCATGGGTGTAGTGGCACACTCTAGAAACCTAGCTTCTTGGGAAGCTGAGGTGGGAGGACTGCTTGAGCCCAGGAGGTCAAGGCTACAGTGGGCTGAGATCAGACCACTGCACTCCAGCCTGGACAGAGCTAGACCCTGTCTGAAAACAAATGAACAAACAAAAAAACTCATATCCTTTGGCTCAAAATTTTATTTCTAGGCTTAGTGTGTAGACAAAGATGGAGGCATACGGTTACTTACCCCAGCACTATTTATAATTGTGGAAAATGAAGACTGCCCAGGTATCCAACTTGAATATCAGAGATGAAATGTCAGTTAACCATTACCATTATTATAAATATTTAATCACCTAGGAGTACAATATTATGTTAAATCAGACTTCAGGGTATAAAACATTATATTCAATATGAGCCAGAATCTGTAACGTAAAAAATTGGCCACAAATCTGTCAATCTATCCACCTGCCATCTACTTCTCTAGCTCCACAGAGAAGAGGACTAAGGAGGGAACCTGTGCATTAGTAGTCAGTGGTTCTGTCTGTACTGCGGCCTATGACGGGTGTCTCTGTATTTTCTAAATTTCTGTAGTAATTATGAGTCATGCCTATAAACAGGGAGACAGAAGGAGTTGCTTTTAAAATGAAATGAGCCTGCGGTGAAGGAAGAAGCGAGGAATGAAGACTGTCTTGTAAAAAGTCCTGGGGTGAAGTGGCAAAAAAAAAGAAAACAGTAACTTAAGGGGGGGCCGGTTTGGGGAGGCTTGGCTTAGTGTCATTTTATTTTATTTTTAGAGATGGGGGTCTTGCTATGTTGCCCAGCCTGGTCTTGAACTCTTGATGTTAAGTCCTCCCCGGCCTTGGCCTCCAAAAGTGCTGGGATTACAGATGTGCACCACTGTGCCTGGTTCAGTTTGGGTTTATTTTTGAAGACAGGATGCTATAGACCATCCTTTTAAGCAGAAGAGAATGCTAATAGAGAGGGTGAAACTGAAGACTCAAAAGGAGGGCCGTCATTCATGAGAATACCCTGGCCTCAAGGGGTCCTCTCGAAGTCAGCTTAGCAACCAGGAGAGGCTGGTCTGGTAGGGAAGAGGGTCTGAGGCTGGGGCCACTGCCGCTGGCCCTCCTGGGGCTCTCACCTGCAGGTGCAGGGCTGCAAAACAGAGCCATCATGGACACCTTCCTCCAGGATCCTGTCTATTCTTCTTTGGGCGTCTCCTGTGCCATCTCCTTCTTCCTATTCTCACTGCCGTTGTTAGCTTAAAATCCTAATGTCTCCAAGGGATGATGAAAATCCCTGCCCTTTGAACTCCACCTCCAGCTGCCCCCACTATCCCCACCCTCCACTGTGCTATCCCCACCCTCCACTGTGCTTGCTTTCCCTGGGGGTCTTTGGCCGTGCTGTTCCCTTTTCTTAGAATCCCCCCACTGCCTTCTCTGGGCCAATTCCTGGTCATCCTCCAGACTCAGCTCCACGTCCCTCCTAGGGAGGCCTTTGATTCTTCCACTCGGTTCCAGCCTGTCTGGAGAATTCTGCCCTGATGTCTGTCCTGGCACTGAGCAGGCTGTGCCATGTGCCTTAACTTCTCTGGGTGCCCTATAGGATGGTGTGAAGATGGGCCACACTTCTTTTTTTTTTGAGACAGAGTCTCGCTCTGTTGCCAGGCTGGAGTGCAGTGGTGCAATCTCGGCCCACTGCAACCTCCGCCTCCCAGATTCAAGTGATTCTCCTGCCTCAGCCTCCCAAGTAGTTGGGACTATAGGTGCGAACCACCACACCCAGCTAAGTTTTTGTATTTTTACAAAAAAACTGTATTTTTAGTAGAGAGGGGGTTTCATTGATAGTCTTGATCTCCTGACCTCATGATCCTCCTGCCTCGGCCTCCCAAAGTGCTGAGATTATTAGGCATGAGCCACAGTGCCCGGCGGAGCCACGCTTCTATCTGCCATCTTAGCCCTAACATCTGACCTGATATCTGGGACTCAGTGAATGCTTGGTGAGTTTTAATGAAGGAAGGAGTGAAGCACACATCTTATTCCATTCAAAGAAATGATGAGGGGGAAGGAACCAACATTTACCTTGTATCTACTCGGGCATTGTACAAAGTGTAGTATCCTAAGTGCTTTGAATATGCTATTTCAGTAAGTCTCAGATAACACAGGAAGGCGAAGGTTGTTATTACTTGTTTGCAGATGAGGACACAGGCTCAGAGAGGGAAACAGTTCACTGGAATGTACCCAATTTGCACATAATTAGCACCCATGGCTGACTCCAAAGTCCCTGTAGGGACAGACTATATCATCCCTCTGTGTCCTTCAAGAAACTTCCTGGTGATTAATTGCCACACTTAAGGAACTAGAAAGTTATTCCTTTCCATAAAAGTTTAGAGTTTCTAACAAATAGCTTTAAATCGTGCACACATCTTTAAATAGCTGTTTCTTTTCTTCACATCAGGCTGAGAGGTCCTCGCAGGCAGGAACTGCTGTATTCGTCTTTCTACAACGCACGGTTCTCGGGAAGTTGTAAGTATTGTGTAAATATTTACTGACCTGATTATCAATCAAATTATTTGTGATTTATTAAGTGAAACTAGGGTGTTGAATTTTCTGGAGTGAGGGGAGGAAGTATTTTTGAGCAGATGGCCTATTCCAGCCTCATCAAATTATACTAGATGGGTCATTTTCTAAGCACAGGGCCAGCCCTGAGGCTGTAGAGAGAACACATTTAAATTCATGATGAATTCATTTAAAATTCCAGGACAAGAAATCTTTTAGGAGCACTAATGGCGTCCCCATTTAAAACGAAATTAATTCTGTATGGTGTAAATGTTGTTATAGTGAAGTACAAATGAACGCAATTATGATGAGGCCCTGCCTCCGAAAAGGAATCCATTAACGGAGTCCGTCATCACAGTCTGGCTGCTCATTATTCATTATACTGCTTGACATGACGCTACGCCACTCCTCTCCGTGCGTTTAGTCGATACATATTTATGGAGCACCTGTTCCAGCCATGCAGGGGATGGGGTGCTGAGAAAAACACCACAGAAACGGAAGGCATGGTCCTGCCCTGTAGCTCCTCATGGCCCCGCGTGTGGTCTCACAGCCGGCAGCATCTCCTGGAGCTTGTTAGAAATGCAGGATCTCCTTTGGATATATACCCAGTAATGCGATTGTGGGTCAAATGGAATTTCTATTTCTAGGTCCTTGAGGAGTCGCCACACTGTCTTCCACAGTGGTTGAACTAATTTACACTCCCACCAGCAGTGTAAAAGTGTTCCTATTTCTCCACATCCTCTCCAGCGTCTGTTGTCTCCAGATTTTTTAATGATCGCCATTCTAACTGGCTTGAGGTGGTGTCCAATGTGGTTTTGATTTTTGTTTCTCTAATGACCAGTGATGACGAACATTTTTTCTTTTTTTTTGAGACGGAGTTTCGCTCTTGTTACCCAGGCTGGAGTGCAATGGTGCCATCTCGGCTCACCGCAACCTCCGCCTCCTGGGTTCAGGCAATTCTCCTGCCTCAGCCTCCTGAGTAGCCGGGATTACAGGCACGTGCCACCATGCCCAGTTAATTTTTTGTATTTTTAGTAGAGACGGGGTTTCACCATGTTGACCAGAATGGTCTCAATCTCTTGACCTTGTGATCCACCCGCCTCGGCCTCCCAAAGTGCTGGGATTACAGGCTTGAGCCACCGCGCCCGGCACGAACATTTTTTCATATGTTTGTTGGCTGCATTAAATGTCTTCTTTTGAAAAGTGCCTGTTTATATCCTTTGCCCACTTTTTGATGGGGTGGTTTTATTATAAAGACACACGCACATGTATGTTCACTGTGGCACTGTTTACAATAGCAAAGACTTGGAACCAACCCAAATGCCCATCAAGGATAGACTGGATAAAGAAAATGGGGTGCATATATATATCATGGAATACTATGCAGCCATAAAAAAGGATGAGTTCATGTCCTTTGCAAAGACATGGATGAATCTGGAAACCATCATTCTCAGCAAACTGACACAAGGACAGAAAACCAAACACCACATGTTCTCACTCCTAAGTGGGTGTTGAACAATGAGAACACATGGACATAGGGAGGGGAATATCACACACTGGGGTCTGTTGGGGGGTGGGGGACTAGGAGAGTGATAGCAGGGGTGGGGAAGTTGGGGAGGGATAACATTAGGAGAAATACCTAATGTAGGTGATGGGGGGATGGAGGCAGCAAACCACCATGGCATGTGCGTACCTATATAGCAATCCTGCAAGATCTGCACATGTACCCCAGAACTTAAAGTATTAAAAAAAAAAAAAAAAAAAGGAAATGCAGGATCTCTGACCCCGCCTCAGACCTTAAATCTCCAGTTTAGCCACATCCCCAGAAGATTTGTTTGGCCATTAAACTTTGAGAAACACCATGGAAATCATGATCATCCTGTTGGCAATATGGGACCATCAAATGAGCTAATTGCTGAATGACATAAAATCTTCTCAAAAAGGCTAACCCACCTGACTAGTGTATTTACTCCTGTGGCTTGAATTGCCTCACCTCACCACCCTTATAATCTCCTTTCTCTGCTCTACTTTTTCTTTTTTCATGATATTTATCCCCTTCTAACATATTAATGCTACATATTTATTGTGTATATGGTTCACTTCGTCTCTTCCTCCTAGAATTTAAGCCCACAGGGGTCTTTGTCCATTTTGCTCACCGATACATCCTAAGCAGATATATCAGTGTATGGCTTGGAGCTCTCCAAGGGCCGGATTCTTCTGATGTTTCTCTAGCCCCCAGCATGGTCAGAGGCTTTCTAAGTGCAGAACAAATCTTTCTTAATAATCGGATCGGGCTCGAAGGCTCACACCTGTAATCCCAGCACTTTGGGAAGTTGAGGCGGGCAGATCACTTGAGGTCAGGAGTTTGAGACCAGCCTGCACAATGTAGTGAGACACCGTGTCTACTAAAGATACAAAACTTAGCCGGGCGTGGTGGCATGCACCTGTAATCCCAGCCACTCGGGAAGCTGAGGCAGGAGAATCGCTTGGACCCAGGAGGCAGAGGTTGCAGGGAGCTGAAATCACATCACTGCACTCCAGCCTGAGCAACAGAGTGAGACTCCATCTCAAAAAAAAAAAAAAAAATAAAACAAAACAGAAAACTCAGATGAAGATATGCCTGGCTGCTTCCAGAGCCCAAAGACCCTTCCTTCCCTGGGTCTTCCTTCCACTTGTCTCCTTGCTCTGAGTCCTGCAGGCCTTCTGGCTAGTGTGAGCATATCATCTGGACTGGGACACCTTGGATATTGCTGGGGTGGGTGGTGGTGAGGAATATTAATAGTTCTTAGCAGGTACAAATGGGGACCATTTCAAGCAACTGTCCCGTTCCTTACAGGACCGACTAAGTTCTGTTATAGTCTAGAGTCCAGTTCCGGGAGGGTGGGTCTGAAAGTTGCTTCCATGTTAGTTGTTCTGACATAAACTCAGATTTGAATATGTGTGTGCCACTTTTCCCCAAGACCCCTTATGACAAAAGAAAGTGGGATCATCTAGGTTGTACATTGGCACTTCTGTTTTTATGGTAGACGGTATGGCTACTTGTGTTGGAAAGGGGGAAATGCAAACATACTGTTTTTCCAGAATTGGCCTTTATGCAGACAGTTTTGTCTATCACAGTGCTAAGCCCAGGAAACTTGGCGGTTGGGGGTTCGGGTTGGGGTGGTGGAGGCAGGACCCTGCGCTGCAGAGTTTGGGTTTGGCTGGGTCTTCTCCCCTCTGTTTCTTGCACTAACAGGGCCCGGATCTCTTTCTCAAAATGAAAACCAAACCAAAACAACAAAACAAACAACTCTCTCCCCAAAACCTACCTTTCCTGCTTTCTATCACGCATCCCAAGCATATATACGTATTATTCTATTTATCTTTTTTTTTTTTTTTTGCAGGAGTGGGGAAACATTTGATATATTTTCATGAGTATTTAACCATACATTGTGGGAGACACAGCTTATTATGCACCTTCAGTAAAGCACAGACTGACAAGCATCCTGTCACTGGGACGCCAGCCTCACTACTGAAGGTGTAACGTAAGGCTCTGTGATGTTCACCTATGCTGTCCTGTCTCCACTGACTTCTAAGCTTCTTGGGAAACGGATCGTGGCATATTTTTTTTTTTTTTGGCTAGACTCATTTAGTTGCAAAAAACGAATTCAACTCAAATTAGGTCAAGTTTTTAATAAATGCCTCATTGGAAGGTTATAGTAACATCTCACACCACCACAGAACGAAGAGCGGGAGGAACAGCAGACCTGCAGACAACAGGAAGGGTCTGGAAGAGCCACGGGGTCTCCCTCACCTTTGTGCCCCTCTGTCTCCTCTCTCAGCCCACTTTCCCTCCGTGCCTGTCCTCCCCTGCCACACACAAAGACATCTTTCTTTGACTTTCTGTTTTTCCGACAAATGTGCCCTAGGCAGCCCGGGTGGGACGGTTCCGGGTTGAGCTGATTGTCTGGTGCATTGGTGCATATTTTGCATCCCCCGATGAATGCCAGTGACATCTCCTTGTTCATTGTAACAACCTGAAATACCTCAGTGCCTTCCCAAGTGACCCCAACTCTGTGAAACGATGGGTACAGCATCCACTTCCAACACAGTTTCAGTGTGTTCAGTTCCAATTTTCCAGAGAGAAACTGACTGATTATCCTGCAGCCATTAAATTGGACCCTGTCCACTCAGCCATGACTGGAAGGCTGCCGAGTCCTGCCCCTTCCATAGGAGCTGAGAGAGGGATTGTTCCCAGAGAGGGATCTGTGAGAAGGCAGCTATCCCTGGGAGATTATCTTTTCCCTCCTTGCTCTAGGCCATCGAGCTTTTGGTAACTACCTATAAATGTGTATTTGCTGTTGATTAACTAAAGGATGGGGCCAACGGAAGCTAAGTGATAAGGAGACAGCCAAGTATAAAGGGGTTACCGGAGAACCTCCAACCCATCTGGGTGTGGAGCCTCTTGAAATTCCTGAGGTTCCCCAGGGGCAGGGGAGGAGCCTGGCCTCTCCAGTTCCAGTGTGGTACCTGGGATTCTGTCTGTGAGGTGGGAAGCCAGCTAGCTAGCGAGACTCGCTTTGCCCAGAGTTCCTGTTTCCCTTTTTGTCCAACAAATTCCATTTTTCTCACCCTTCAAAGTGTCTGCAAGCCTAATCTCTCATGGTTGTGTGACAAAGACCTCGTTTTCGCTGAACTAAGGAGAAAGTCCTAAACAGTAATAGTCACGTTTGCTTGGGAGGCCCAGTTTCTGTGCTGTCTCTTGCCACACTTTGGAGCCAATACCTACAAGTCATCTATTTTCCCTTCTTTTTTCTTTTGAATGCCAACCTTAACCCTGTCTTTCATTTTCTCTATTTCCACTATCCCTCATTAAGCATTTTCTGTGCCCCTTTCAACCTTTGATGTCCATAAACATGTGACCTTAGTGATTCTCACTCCTCTTTGCATACCAGATAACGTAATATTAACTTACTAACACTTGAACACCCTATGTTGTAATCACAAGAATATATGAAAATGCCCTAATTTACCCCCGAATTAACATACTTTCTGCTTATGTGTTTGCTTTGCACAGCTGTTCACCATTTGAAGAGGCCATCACAATGCTCAGAAGATAATCAAAGAAGCTACTTAAGAATAACATGCCCTTTTAGAGACTAAAAGCAAACAATCCCCGTGCTGAACTTGGAATGGTAATGAGCTCGGGCAGGAGCCCAACCGCCACCTCCCTGGCCGACCCACCCAGCTGGGATATTTGCATTTGACACAAACCATTTTATGATGCTGTAAATTTCACATTTTTACAGTTACAGGTCTGAATCATCATGAAAACCATTTCTGCACATATCTTTGGTAAATGGAATTAAAATTTCCACGTGATCTGAAAACGCTAAATTGCTAGTAGCTTCTCTAGGGCTTTGCAGCTGGCTTTGGCCTCTGCTGACCTCGTCATTGTTTAGGCATATAAAAATCACAGTTTAGGCTGATGAGCCTAATTTAAGTCTGCAGGCAATTTTCAGTCCATTTTTGCTGCTTTTTCATGTTCTTCACCACAGAAAAAGCCATTTTATAAGCAACCTGGGTACCAAATTACAGACCTCAATTTAAAAACCTGGCATATATTATAAACATCACTGTATCTATTGCCATTCTCTAAACCATTCATTTGTAACATTCAATCACAATGTGTAATCCTTGGGTTTTCAGTTGTTTCATTCAGTGGTTGGCCCTTAAACAAATCTGCTCTTCCATTTAACATTTTCTTAGAGATGGTTTTAACCTCATTCATTTGAAGTTTTGAATTTGTTCTTTTTATACGTGCTTTAATTTTAGGTCATACAGCTTTTTGAAGCACACTCAAGCCAGTTTCTTGGCTCTAGATAAGCATTTGATTTAAAAGTTGTCTTTGAGCTGTTAAATAACTGTTCTTACGAATACTGTGTGCTCGATGGGAATTCCTCTGAGTTTTTCATTCACTGGGATTTTCTTGGTGGATTCGGTATGTTTTGGGTAAAGAACATAAGATAGGGGATGTGTTCTCAAGACAATAAATGCAACACACTGTTCTTGATTTAACCATGAAAAGAAAGCTTGCACCTTCTTGAAAACATCTTTGGCACCAAATGAAGGCGTTGATTATTTGTGTGGCTATTACCTGCCATAGTTGATCAACAAACACTCGCTGAATACTGAGCAGGAAGTAAAGTGGCTGACGGGCTCGGGACAGTGGTATTATCTTGCCTGCAATCTTGAGGACCCAGGACTGGAAGACCAGTGAGTGTATTGGTTGAGGCTTGTAGACCCTTTTCTCCCACCAAATGTGTGTGGTTGATGGTGTAACAGGGAGATGGAAAATGGACTATTAATTTTTCCTGAGAGTAAGTGAAAACTGAAGAACCTGGACACATCTGTAAAGGTTCTGATGAATCCGTCTCGTCCTTAGAGTTTTGGGTCCTGTGAGATGCTGGATCTGCCTTTCGGATTCATGTTGAGAATCTCCCAGGGGATCCTGCCTGCTTCAGCCTCATCTCACTGTCCCTAGTTTATGTTTTCCAAATGTAAATGTGATTTGATTATGCCCTCTTTAAAATTCTTCAAAGTTCTCCTTTGGTTCAGAGGGGAAAAATACGAATGAGTTGGCAAGACCTCTGCAACTAGCATCAGTTGGCCCCAAGTCACCCATCTGGACATGCCCCAAAGCATTCCCCATTTGCTCATTGCATTGCAGCCACAGAGTGCTGCCTGGTGCCCCTGCAATGAATCAGTTTTTCCTTCATGTGTGTGCATCTAAAGAACTCTCCCTTCCCTGCCCTTATAACGCCTTAGCAAACTCTGTTCATCCTGCAAGACCCAGTTCAGGCATTGCCTCTGAAGTTTTCCCTGACCACATCCCTCTCCTAACTGCATCAATGACCTCTTTTTGCTGACACATCTGTTTTTATACCTCCATTCTGGCACTTATCATATAATGTTGTAACTATTTTTCTCCAACGGGCTAGTAGTTGTTTTTTTCTTTTCCTTTTTTTGAGATGGAGGCTCACACTCTGTCACCAGGCTGGAGTGCAGTGGCGAGATCTCGGCTCACTGCAACCTCTGCCTCCGGGTTTAAACAATTCTCCTGCCTCAGCCTCCCGAGTAGCTGAGACTTCAGACACACACCAGCACGCCTGGCTAATTTTTGTATTTTTAGTAGAGACGGGGTTTCACCACGTTGGCCAGGATGGTCTCAATCTCTCGACCTCGTGATCCGCCCACCTTGGCCTCTCAAAGTGCTGGGATTACAGGTGTGAGCCACCGTGCCTGGCCCAGGCGCGTAATTCTTTCCTTAGTTATATAACAAAGACACACAGGAAGACTTTTTCGAAATACATGTTCTTAGGCTGCACTCCTAAATATTTCAATGTAGTAGGACTAGGGTGGAGCTCAGGAACCTTTTTTTTTTTTTCTTTTATTTTGCAGGTGACTGACCAGGTGCACATCTGGTTGAGAAGCATCACATGAACTGGGAGCTCTGGGCAGGCCAGGTTAGACCTTGTTCATTTTTGTCCCCCCTTGCCCTTAGCAGAGTGGCACTTAGTAGACTCCCAGCTGTGATGTGGAAAGAAGAAGCGGGGGGAGGGGAGGGGGGAAGGAAAAAGAAAGGAAGAAGGAAGGAAGGAACAAAGGAGGCAGCGAGAGAGAGCAAGAGCAAATGAGAGAGAGAGAAAGCAGAAGAGTTCATTTACTGGAAGAATCTTACCCTCTTGGGGAAAATACTGCAAATTAATATAAGGAGTTTTGTGAAAAGATATCCCCTGGTTTAGCTATAAGGTCAAGATCCATCTCCCAAGAAGGAGGGACCAGAATGTAGATACACTTAGAGAGAGTACTGGTGTCTGCCGAGTGTGGGCACAGTCCAGCCATGGGGGTTGTTCCTGGTCTTCTAGTTACTATGTAAGCACCAGTCTGAACACTCCATAGAAAACACCTCAATCGGCCTCTTCAGTCTAACCTGCAGTACGTGACCTTCTCTGCGAGTCTGACCCTCACTTTACAAGATCTTCCACTTCTGTAAGTGGAAGCCTCGCCAAGTATCCCCATTCCCAGAGAAATCGTGTGGCCGTCAGGGGGTCCTCATGTCACTGCAGAACACAGGGATCCTCCTCATGGCTCCATTTGTCCTGCCCCAAGCCCAGAGCCACGGCCAAGCTGATTTGCTCTGATGTCAAGGGTCGGCACAGGACTGGCATCTTGCAGACTAGGATCAGGCAGATGAGAGAAGATTCTAAAGTGGATCTTCTCCATATCTGGAGGAGCTTCCCAGCAGGCATAGTGCCATCATTTTGCTCTGTACTGAATACCAGGCTTAAGGCTAAGCACCATGCAAAATCAGCCCCCCAGACTGATGCAAATACAGATCTTTCCCAACCACTGGGATAAAGCTTTCACACTCCTGGTTCTCCCAATCATTAGAAAACAGACCTCAAGATTTCAGCAGCCTAGAAGCCTGATAGGAGCCTGGTCAGAGCTGTCTGGAATTGCTAACCGTCGTGGGGTTTTGTTTTTAAATATATGCCCGGTTATGGAAGGAAAATAACCTTCATTGTGCAGAGCCCTGCACTTTAAGCACAAAACCTGATTCGAGGAAGAATTATGATTCTCCACTTTGGGGCTCTGCCAGGGTTCCCATAAAACCTTCCTTTTTCTGTAGTCTACACCATGCTGTCTTTGTAATCAATTTAAGAGGCTTTTATGAGATGCCAGAGCATGTTACTTAAAAACATTCCCATTTATTTTGCCTTACTTTATGTTTTTATTACACAGAATTTGACTTAAATCCATTTGGCAATGTTTTATAGTAGAGGGAGGCCAGGCGGGGGTCCATCAGGAAGAGAAAAGCCATTTGTCATGGAGGGAAAGCGCACGTGATCGGGTGGCTTAGACCCCAGCACAGGGAAGAGAGATGGAGGCGCCCACCCTCCGCTCAACTCAGTGAGTCTTGGAAAATTCCTCATGCTCATCTGGAGCCTCCCTCTTCCTACAATTTTCGGTAATTTTTCTAAGGGCTGGCTCCGCCCTCCATTGTTCTGTTCAAAACCTTCCATGACAAAATTTGTCTTCAGAATAAAGCCCAAATTCCACATTGTAATATTTTTCATTACCTAGGATTTTCCCTCAATCTGCCCCTGCCACTTGATTAATTAAGTTCTTTCTTTCTCTTGCTTTTTACTCTCCAGCTAAACAGGAAGCACTTCCTGTTCGTGCCTCCAGCACCAGCCTTCAAATCCTACCCCAGGGTCGAGGCAGACAGAATGTCAGCTTGGCTCCCATATTTCCCTTAATCCTTTCAGAAGGAAGTAGTTGAGCCCCGGCTGTGAATAAAACTGCATTTTATTTGTACTTCTTATGACAGTTAACACGTTTTTGTCTTGATGTCTACAGTACAGGCCCTTTGTTTCTTTGTTTTCAAAACTGTAAGTCCAGAGCAACAGTTGCCGAATATTTTATCTTTGAATCACACTTACCACCTGGCCCAGGGGCTGGAACATCAGAGGGCTCAGAAAGTACCTGTTGAAGGCCGGGCGTGGTGGCTCACATCTGTAATCCCAGCACTTTGGGAGGCCGAGGCGGGTGGATCACGAGGTCAAGAGATCGAGACCATCCTGGTCAATATGGTGAAACCCCGTCTCTACTAAAAATACAAAAAATTAGCTGGGCACGGTGGCACGTGCCTGTAGTCCCAGCTACTCAGGAGGCTGAGGCAGGAGAATTGCCTGAACCCAGGAGGCGGAGGTTGCAGTGAGCCGAGATCGCGCCATTGCACTCCAGCCTGGGTAACAAGAGCGAAACTCCGTCTCAAAAAAAAAAAAAACAAAAAACAAAAAAAAAAGAAAGAAAGTACCTGTTGAATGGCTGTGTGCGTGCTGGCCCCAATAAGCAAGTTCAGAAATAAGAAACATTTATAACATCTATAAACGGGGCTAAAGCGCTTGTTTTAGAGGCTGTTTCCACTGTCGCATCTCACCATGAGTCTGCCCATGGCCTCATGGTCCCACTGTGCAGGCTGCTCCACGCCCAGAGCCACGCCAGGCTGATTTGCTCCAAGGTTAGGATCTGCACTCGATGGCGTCTTGTGAAGCGATTCGGGCAGAGGAGAGAAGACTCTGGAGTGGCATCAGAACAAAATCCTCCCCGTCCCTGGCGGAGTATTCTAGCCACAGGAGTAGTGCCTTCGTTTTTCTCTGTACCCAATACCAGGATTGGGTTCACTCAGCTTCCAAAGAGAACCCTACTTGGCCGCAGGGACCCCCGTGGTGCTGTAATCAGGCCAAGCCCCGGGGGGCTCACCCGGATCTGGAAACTGAAGGAGGAAGATGTCGGAAGATGGCGAAAGTTTAGTCAAGGACCTAAAATAAAGCCAGGAGGCCATTTTAGCTTGAGCCTCAGGCACATGTTAACCAGGGAACTCTGGACCCTCAGGATCACAGCCCCCAGCAGAGCCACTGCCAGAACACCTGCTGTTACCGCCACTGTTTCCTGCTGAGCTGGGTGGTTCCGGACCCCAGGCACCCTTTTAGGTTGTTACAATCAATCCCTTGACTCCAAAGCTGCTTTAGATAAAATCACATCAATTGTAATCCTTGAAAAACAACTCTTGTACTTGCCCCGTCTTCTGGTTTGGCCATTTTTTTTTTTTTCTTTGAAAGCTTCAGCTTTTTTTGCTTTTCTCAGGAGCACTTCCCAAAGTAACTTCGAAATGTTTCCTGGGCTGTGGTCACTCAAAGTTGGCTCACATGAGTTCATTCATTGAACTGCTTAAGCCATGCCTCAGCTTCTTCCTAGGTCCACGGGACTCTGCCACAGTGTGGACACTTTTTTCTGGTGTTACGCCTTGGCTGGACACGGCCACACACTTCACATCTGCTTTTTTTTTCTTTGGAGCCACCAGCAGGTAAGTTCTCCTTATCCCTGACTCTGCTGCGTGACCTTTGGCCATCACTCCTGCAGCTAGTGGGCAAATGCATCTTTCTTGCTTTGAATTTCTGAACAACAACAACAAAATTGTGATGGGTCCCGGCCGGCTCTGTAAGCCAAATAATTACAGCCCTTGGGGCAGGTGCCTGCCCTCAAATCAGTCAGCAGAGACCAGGAAGCAGGGGCAGGTGTGCACCATTGCGTGAGCAGCTGGAGCTTGGTCAGGCAGCCACCACAGCAGACATGTCCAGTGGTATCAATGCCCCCTCTGCCATGACCTAGGGAAGGGTGAGGAAGAAAGGCACTCTGCTCCCTGGTCAGAGCAGCAAGAGAACCCTGGTGATCAGAAGATATGGCAGCTCATTTCCAGAGGTCAGAGCTCCGACACACTGCAGGTGGGACCTGGGGAGAAATGAAATAACCACAGGTAAGCCCGATTTACTGGTGCTATGGTCTGCTGTTGGTGTGGCCCCCAAATTCGTATGTTGAAATCGAATCCGCAGTGTGTTGATAGTAAGAGATGCGGCCTTTGGGAGGTAGACTAGGTCATGAGCCCTTGTGGTTGGGCTTAGTGACCTTATAAAAAAGACTTGAGGAAGTCTGTTTGCCCCTTCTGCCATCTGAGGACACATCGAAGGTGCCCTCTGTGAGAAGCCCTTACCAGACATGAATCCACGGGCGCCTTGATCTTGAACTTCCCAGCCTCTGGAACTATGAGAAGTAAATTTCATTGCTTATAAA